ATATATACAGGGAGTTGAATTAACTATCTATTTTTTGGTAACCCCATAATCGTGGAAAAAATGATTTATGGTTGTTATATTTGGATTGAATTCTGATATTACAACATATATATTAAACACTTATCTGCGATATGTATTGTAAATTATTTGATTATGGGTCGAAGCTTTTGGATGCTTGATTAATGAACTTAATTTTTTGTATTCTTTCCGGAATAACAATTTCTGGCTTTTCATCGTACCATACTTCAAGGAGAAAAATTCTGTTATCTTGACATATGCATCTTTTTAGCCGATCACGATTTACAACATTCTCAAGTTTTTTGACATCTTTATACCAACTAGTGCTATGAAACCAATGCTGATTCCCTTGTACTTCTAATGCAATTCAGTATTTTTGGAAGAAGGCATTAAGTTCCAATCCATTCAAGTAGAGAGGATGATATTTGATTATCGGCTTTTCTCCAAGTAATACTTGAGCTATTAGAATACATTTTTTCTGAAATTTACGATTTTTCTTAAACTCTAGTTCTTTTTTAAATTCATCTAAATCCTGTTTTAACTTTATATTCTCAGTTTCAACTTCTTCTTTGTCATACTTTAACTTCATATTTTCGGGTTTGATTTTGATATTCTCATTTTTTAATTCATCTATTTTCTTTTCTAATTCAGGTACTAAATTGTAGAATATATCGCAATAACTCGCTCTATCAATAAAAAGAAAGCAAAGATTGAGTTGTAATTTCTTTACCAATTCATTGATCTCTTTATCTTCAAATGATCTGGGTTCAAGAACTCATTCATAAATCATTTCTTTAGGGAATGTTCTTATCTCGTTCCAAAGATCTAAAGACCGCTCCCACGCCAATTCTAATAAATCAATTTTGGGTTGTATATTTGTCATTATTTGTGAAGATTCAGAGTTTATCCAAGGATCAAGGCTGGTTTCTTTCTCATAACGTTTATACAACTTGGAACAAATCCCATCTATCGAAATACCTGGCGCTACAGTAATTTCAGCTTTCCATCCCAAATATTCAGAAGTTAGTATTTTATGAGTTTTTGATTTTGCGCTTTGCTCTTCCATATTAACGTTTTACATGATCATAAATCAATTCAAATTAGATATTAACTTTTCGTAGCATAATCACATATCGATTGTGGAAAATACACATGGCAAAATTTCAGAGAACAAATATTCGTCAAAAAATACCAAGAAAAAAATAAAAATAAATTCAGAATAAAAAATAAATTCACTTTATTGTAACAATAAAATATATAGGCACAGATGCTGGATGCATCGCTTATAAAATGTCTATTGCCTGCAAAGCGGATATTCTGTATCTAATATGCGCAGATT